ACCAATAGCACCCCCGGGCCCCCAGCCTCCAGCACAGCCTCGACAAGCTTTCTAGCAGGGCACAGTGGGAAGAGCTGGAAAGCAGCTCCCCGGGCCCTTCGCTGCAGGCAAACCGCTGCTCACTGGGCTCTGACCCCCAGGACCGCAAGCTCCGAGGCCACCATGACTGGGAGGGAGCAGCAGCCACAGCTTCTCCTCCCGCCTCGGTAACACAGCCCAGCGCCCGCAGCCAGCGACCTCCTGTATGTGCCATGTGCCCAAAACAAAGAACGGAGCGGAAGAGATGACGCTGCATGGGTCCGGAGCTAGTATCTTCCGATGCACTTTCACCCACGACCAAACCACAGCCTCAGTAGAGCTGGGGTTTCAAGAAACTCGAGCAGTTACAGGCTAAAACCAGCTCAGAGATAATCCCATCTTCAGCTCTGTCACCTCCAGCTAATGACATCAACCCAAAAGGCATCACGACAGAACCTCCTTGCTCCTCACCCATCAGAAGATACTGCGTGACTCCAAAGCCGGGCGCGCAGTCTGGAGCCAGGCAGTGACTACAGCTGCATTTTAAATAAGTAAAGCGGGGATGAGATGGAGTCTTAAGACGGAGCAGAGCGCTAGGAAAAAAGGGGCCCTGGGTCTCCTTGGACGTTGTTAGGAGACAGAAATTCTGCTGCTCTGAATACCACGTGGAAGAAGCTCGGCATTTCTAGAGGTGACATCTCTCGCGAGCTCATTTCTCCTCGGCTGCTTTCCGAAGGGCACGGGATGTGTGTCAGGGAGCGGAGCGACGGCCGCGGGGAACCGAGTTAAGAGACTCAGAAGACTGACCCGAAGTTCCTCATTTCATCTCCCGCAGGTGCCCCACGGCGATTAATTCTGCTCAAGCATTACACCTCTCTCCCATCCCAGACAAATTAATTCAGATCACACAGGAGGGGGGGTCTTTGCTGCACAATGGTATTTATAGGTCAAAACACAAAGTTTTTTGGTTTTAATACAGGTGGCTGTGGGAGCAGTGCAAGCTGTGAGCCGAGCACGCTGTGACAGTGGACAAGCAGCACATGAGGGCTGCAGGGAACTGGGGGGGGGCACTGGGGAACTCAGCCTCACCAAGGCTGGGAGCTGAAGAAGGACCCAACGCTGAAGCGGCCACTTTCTTTCTTGTGGGTATTTTATATCTGCATGGTCATCGTTAGCAGAGCGTAATTAGTGCCTCTGCAGTTTGCAGGGCACTGCTGAGGGCAGGGAGCAGTGCAGAACCTGCCTCCCCTCCCCAGGTGCTGACACACGCAGCAATACAAACAGTAATTAGGACATGAATAACCAGGAAAACGTGTGTTTGGCTCAGGGGAGACATGGCAGAGGGTTAACGAGAGCATGCAGAGCGGGACTGGCCCCCAGGACCGGCCGAACACCACCGCCCTCCGGCACAGCCGAGCATCCAGACTAACGTCCCTCTCGCACTCCGGCCGCGCCGTGCAGACGTTTGCCACCTCTCCATGACGAGCCTTTGGCAGTCTGTCCTCCGGCTTTCCAGCAGCCCCGTCCACAAGCCGCAGATGTTAACGACGTGCCCGAAGCCAGGCGGGACGGGCTGGGACACCCCGTGCACCCACGTGCCACGGCAAAGGGCTTGCGAGCAGGCACCGGGTGAGCACAGCCCCACACAACTTCTCCACAATACTAACCCGTGCCAGGCTCTACCCCATCCGAAACCAGCTTGGTGGAAAACACAAGTGCACCTGTAATTCCTTTTACCCCAGCTCAAGTCTGAGATTCCCGGTCTGTTTATGCAGCCTAACAAGCTACTGCCCAACTGGTACCTGTGCTTGGACCCTCTCACTGGGGTAAGCCAAGACAAACCTCTTTGCACGGGCTCAGAGCAGACGCAGAGGCAGTGAGCACAGCAGCACCGTGCTACAGTAACCTGTTAGGCTATAAATGTATCTGGCTCTTTAGAGGCAGAGAGGTCCCCTCAAATTTCCTTGGTCTTCATCTTCGTATCTAGTCACATCGGAAGATACCAGTGTGGGGAAATCAAGTGTCAAGAGCAGGCTGCTTCTTCCCTTCTCTCTGGCTTTTATTTCAAGAAAAAAAAAAGGGGGGGAAAAAAAAAAAAGAAAATCAAGAAAAATGAAAGGAAACTGCAGGACTTCCCATCTGAGGTGCAGAAAAGGAGGAGCATGCAGTGAATCACGAGATATACAAACCACAAAACGTTAATACAGGAGAGAACACAGTTTTCCAACCTGGGCTTCAGCACGGATAGTTTCAAAGAGAAGTTTTTCCTGGGATTGCATGGAAATCAAACATACACAGGAGTGAGGAGAGAGGCGGCTTCCCCGAGACCCCCGCGAGATCCACCAGAGCTCGGGCAAGGCTGGGCAACGGTGGCCGAGTGCCAAGCGGGATGGGGAAGGAGCGGCTGGAGCATCTCCAGGTCAACAGCCCCGGGTGAGAAGAGCCATTCCGTCAATGCGGGGACAAACCTGGCAAAAAACCTGCTCGCTGCAGGGAGGGACAGGAGACGCAGTTAACGGTGCGGCCGTGTCCACGAAGCCTGTAAGAGGTGGCCCGTACGAGTGCGGCTGGCGCGGTTAGCTGTGAGGAGGTCAAACACCCTTCACCCCCAGCCGCAAGCGCTCACAGATCGCACTCTGTGAAGTGGGGGGGTCCCTTCCTCTGGCACTGACGGCAGGAGGAGACGCGAGCACACTAACGCGAAAGGGGAAGGAGCCGCGGCAGCTATCTGGAAGATCAAAAGAGGAGGGAAGACGATTCGCTGCCTGGAGTTTAAAAATATATCGGAGCCAAACAGCTTCTAAATTGAACCCTGGGCTCGTGCTGCCGTGACCCGCGGAGGGGCTGGGCAGCTCGTGCTGAACAGTAGCCAGAGGAAAGGGGGAACCCAGCACAACTGAATCCAAGTGGTTTCACAATACCTGGTGGGAATCCAGAGGAGCCTTGATATAGGAACAGTATTTCATATTCCTATGCACAAATTAAAGCCACATTTTCAACCCTCTTTGAAATCTGCAGGCCTAAGAGTAACTCAGCATATCAGCATCCCCACAAAGCGTATCCAAATTAAGCCCAGAGAGAGGGATGTGAGAAAGAGCCGCAACTTCCAGGAACGGACAGGCTCAGAAAAGAGGAAAGAAAGGGGATGAGGGGCGAGTTTCTCCTGCACAGCAAACCAGACAACTGCAGGGGCTTCTAAATTCCCCCCTTTACCTTGTTACATCAGGAGCAGTGGTGGGGCGAACGTGCTTCATGATGGTCTGGATCCAGTTGCGGCGAATGCCCGACGTCATGGCGGAGAGGGTGAACTCTCCTTCCTTCGTCTACGGGGAGAGGAAGACCAGCTCATAGCAGCTGACTGCACCCACCAGCACCTTCTCACCCCCCCCGCCCCAACCCTGCACCCAGCCCCGATCACCCAGCACGCTCACGGTGAGAATGAGCGTTTCTCAGCCATCAGGCTAGTTTTTCTGCAGCTGAGACCCTAACGCTGAGACAAAATCTTCTCTTTCCCCCTCCATTTTTTTAGCACCGAAAAACCAGCTCTCAAACCCAAGGCCACAGCTCGCTGGAGCAAGGGGGTGATGCCAGGTGGCCTCTCTTAGGTGTCTGGGGAGATGTTTTCCCTGTCTCGGATGAGCATCCCCAGGCAGCAGCACGGCATGAGCAGCCCCATCGGCCGTCCCACAGCCGGACTCTTCCTCCTGCCCACATTTTCCTTACGTGGATCTGGAAGCCATAGTTTCGCTGAACCGGGTACTCCGTAACATCGTAGCACGTGGATAAATCGATTTCTCCATCCAGGTCAGCTGCCTGGAGAGGGAAGAGGTAAAATAAGCCGTAGTGCTTTGCAACCCCAGAGCGCGGTGGGCTCGCGGGGAGGCACGCAGCAGGTCCTCGGGAAGCGCAAAGCCCAG